GCTATCGCCGCCCCCGGCCGCTCGCCGGGTTCAGACCGGGCTGCAGCTGCCGGCGGTTTGCTCGGTGGCAGGCACGGCCTAGGAGGGACCAGCCGGGCTACACCGGCTGCCCGCCTTCCCTTAGAATTAAAAAAAGTCAATCAAATATTGACAATTAAGACAGATAACTGAAAACGCTGGACTCGATGTTAAGTCGGCTGTAAAAACGTCAGCGTGGGGAAAGGGGTCATCTGCAAAAATAAATCAACCCCTTTTACACGCCCACCCCCAAAAATGAGATAAAAAAAGCAGAAGGAAGGGCTTGGGGAGGGGGGCTCTTTTCTTTAAAAGTGTATTTCTAAATAACATTTGGGGGGAGTCCTTTTTTTTTTTTTTCCTTTTTTGAGGGGGAGGAGCTTGACGTTTTCAACTCTATTCTTTCACTTAAGTGACAGATTTATCCCAGTAAAATTATGTTTCATGCTCAAACTTTGAAGGGAAAGTGGCTACGTAAATGCTGAAAAAATGCAGCGAGACACACTTGATCCCCCAACTGGACTGCGAAGAGGAGAAAGTATTCAGGAAATGTTAAAAAAGGTGAAAGTAAGAAGCGTTTTAATAGTTCTTCCAGACATGGGGGCCTCCCTAGAGATTCATATAGAACAATCCTGAACCTCTATTTTAACATTTACAGACTTGCAACTCTTTTAAAACTTTACATCTGAAAAACTGCTTGTTCTCTTTCTGGTTTAGATCAGTCTTCATTTTCCTCCTTAGCTCTTCAAATGCTTAACCTTTTTTTATTACATTTTAATAGAGTTTTTCAAGCCACCACCAGTCCCCTCCTTCTGGCCTTATTTAAACCTGGTCGTTTAAATAACGCCTTTTAAAATCCAGGCATTATAGGAGTAAAACAAGATGGCATTTTTTTATTCTTTTGCTTGGGAAATTGGCTAATGCCCTTTCAAGCCAGAGCTGCTCTAGGGTGGGAATAATTCATTTGGAAGATTAATGCTGGATGTATGGAATACCATATAGATGGAATCTGTGCTTCGCTTGAACTGCTAAAGTCCAGCGTGAAATTTTCAGCCGAAGCAAAAGGAAGAAAGGAAAAAAAACCACCAAAAAAACCCCACACAACAACAAACCAGAAGGGGAAGGAAGAAAAGTGTTTCCACTAATCTCCCCAAGCAAGAAAGGGAAATTGCAGCTAATACCAAAGAAAAACAGTTGCGATTCCTACGTACAACACGCATGAGTACAGGCAGTTCCCTGATCCGGGTGCAGGATCAGGCCTCCCGCCGCTGGCCCCGCGGCAGTGCCGGGGCGCGCTGGCCCCGCTGACCCCTGCGCGGCGTTTGACCGTCCCAATGTGTCATTAGTGCATGCGATCAAACTGTTTGGGCTTCGGGTGTCTCCAGCGGAGGGATCGGTCCCCTGCCCCGGGGGGGGCAGAGATTTTGGGGAGAGGGTGCCAGGGCCCCCCCTGGTAGAGAGGCCACGGCATAGCGCAGGCTCTCGCGCTCGCAGAGTCCCCCCTGCTTTGTCTCTGGAGACGCCGCAGCATCTTTGCCCGCAGTCAACTGCCTCGCTGACCCTCCACTCAGGATTTGTTTTGAGAAGGGTGGGATGGGGGGTACATTGGGAAAACACCACTTCGGACAGTTCTAGTTTAGGGAAGGCTTCCAAAGCAGCCATTTCCCCCCCTCTCCTCCCCCTTTTCAACTTTCCTTTCTATTTCTTTTCCAAAAGGAAGTCTCAGAGACACCCAGCCCTGTAAAGAGCTGGGCTGAAATGATTGGTGCTGCTCAGCACGCCGCAGCCCCGAGCCCTCCGAGTCAGGTGCAAACCAAGAGTGAAAAAGAAAGGAGCAGAGCCCATCCTGCAAGCACCGATCCCCTCCCTCGGCACGGGGAACCTGCCCTCACCTTGAATCACACAGCCGCTGATCGCTGACCCCTATGTTCTCCCTTTACAAGCCCCCGCAAGCCGAACGATTTTAATGATTTCTGGCTAACAAACAGGACGGAAATCATCAATCGCCGCACTGGGCTGCGAACACCTCCCCGGCTTCCCCCCCCCGCCTGCCCCCATCGCACGTCCTTACCGTGCACATCCCCATCCTCTGCCATCGCATTGATTTTCTTGTTGTCCAAGATCTGCACATGTTTCCCGCTGGTCCGGCTGTACAGCTGGTAGGTACGGACGAGCCGCCGGCTGAGCTGATCCGTCACCAGGCTCTGCTCCCTCACATGCTGTGTAAAATTAGGTGGGGACTGAACAGTTACCTTTAGGAAATTAAAAAATATACGACACACCATTATAATCTCTACTCCTCAGAGGGGCGAATGGGCTGAGCCGAGATCACCGGCCTCCAGCTGGGCTTTACGGGGAGGCACAGAGCCGGGACCGCAGTGGTACCTCCTGCGCCAGCAAAGCCTCCGCGGGAGAAGGAGCTTTAAGCGCCGGGACACAGCAACCAGAGCCCTTTACAGAGCCATGCCCGCTCCAGACATGCCCTAAGCAGAGAGGTGCAGGTGACTCGGGAGCACGACAGGGCTCGGTGACCCCAGAGGGCCTCCCTGGGACTCGGCAGGTCCCAGCTGGCACTGGGGTACCTGAGATGGGCATCGAGTCTGGGCGCCGGATGGGGTCTGGGGAGGGGATCATGCAGGATGGCATTGGGTTGCCCCCTGAGGGGCTGACACATTCATCCCACACCTCTCTCACCTCTGCAGGAGCATAGTGATGCTCCGGCTGCCCTGGACGTGCACCCCAGCCACTGCCCCATCGGTTTCAACAGCTGCCTTTCCTATGGGTCCCAGGCTCTTTATTTGCTCCCAAACGCCCCACTTATTGAGCTCTTTAAATACAGAGTCCCCAGAGAAGGTAGAGCTACGAGGTATGAGAATTATAAGAAAACCGTGCCCCAACCTGGGTATTTAGTGGCATAAAAACCCAAGGATACTAATTCGCTACCTGTGCAAACACATCCCTCACCCGTAGCCAGCTGTCTGGTGCCAGCAGCAGGGTTGTCCCCAGCCCCGGCACACCAAACCCGTTAGCCCCGGAGCCGCAGCTGAGCCTGTCCCCTCCAGATCCGACACCACTGCTCCTGGGCTTTAAATGATTTTTGTGAGCAGCCAAACCTGCTCCCCCCTCAGCCCTGCTCGCGAGCTTGCACAGAAGTCTTTTTTTCCCCCCTCGTCTCAAATCCCTCTTTTAAGTCTGGAAAGTTTCGCTGCTCCCTGACATTTATAAAGATGCATTCTGAGCAAATGTTAGGAGATAGCTCCTTTCAACATCAGAAGGCTGGGACTACCCCCCACCACCCCCACGTCAAATGGGAAGGTTTCCTCCCGTCTTAAACAACAACAGAAAAACCCAATAAAAGCAAAAGCCGCTGCTCTCCCAAAGCTGGCTTTATAGAGATATCTCCCCTTGACAATGTCATCTCTCTCCCTCCACTTCTGCCTGTGCATGTGTGTTTCCTATAGACGGGTTTTGGATAATGCAGCAGGATTCTCTCCCCGGCTCTGATGAGGGTACCATGTGGAGGAGAGGTCATTAGCCATGCTGCTGTTTGGTCTCCATCTCATACTCCAGATATATTACAGCTATGTTTTTATACAACTGCACACTCCCAGCGCTTCATTCCCTTCGCTTTTCAGCTGGAAACCAAATTTTTTTTTTTCTTTTTCCCAAGCTTCCAGGAAAATAAAAAAAAAGTGGCTTAAAGGGCATTTTAAAGAAAGCTTCTGCACCTGTGATCTCAGGGGGAAGGGGGGCTTCACCCCGGTTTGAAGGCGCACCGCTCCCAGCGACGCGTGCCTGCTGGTATGCGGGTGTTGCACAAGCTCTGCCGGGCTGTTTAATCTATTCATGACACTTCTGTCTCTGGCGATACAAACCAGCGATGCTAAAATCTGACAATTTTGATCTGAATCAAAACCTGCACTTTTTAGTAAGGTTTTGGTGGGGTTTCTTTTCCCCTTTTTAATTCCGCTTTACTTTTTGGATGAAGCAGCGTAGGAAAAAAAACGCGGACAAGAGGAAAGGGGGTATCCACAGTGCCATTCAGAGGTGGGGGGGGGACGGGACCTAAAGCTACTTCAAAATAACCCTGCGCAATTCCTTGAAACCCCGGGTGCTCCCTGCCCCGCAGCCCGAGACCTCCGCACCTTATTTTGCAGCCCGGGGGGCTGCCCCCTCGGTCTCGGCTTTTTACAGCCGGGCGACTTTTGTCTCCTGGTTTTAAACTGTTCCTCCTCCCTCCCTCCCTCCCGAGCCCGGGGCTCTCGGCGGCGGCTGCGGGGCACCCCCCATCCCCGAGGGGCGAACAAAGCCGGGCGGCCAAGCGGGCGCTTACCTGGGCTTGCAGGCAGAGGACGAA